CGGGGGGCGCCCGGCTGGCTGTGGGCACACAGCTGCTATGTGATTCAACGGCACAAAATAAAGTCTTTTTTGCAAGAATTGTGACTGGCGATGAAAAGTGGATTTATTTTAAGAATCCCAAACGCACCAAATCATGGGTTGATCCAGGTCAACCATCAACATCAACTGCAAGGCCAAATTGCTTTGGAGAGAAGACAGTGCTCTGCGTTTGGTGGGATCAGGAAGGTGTGTATTATGAGTTTCTAAAACCAGATGAAACAGTTAATACTGATCGGTACTGACAACAAATAATCAATTTGAACCACGTTTTGATCGTGAAATGACCAGAATGTGCCAGAAGACATGGCAAAGTAATTTTGTTTTATGATGATGCACCATCACACATTTCAAAACCAATTAAAGACACGTTAAAAGATCTGGCCTGGGAAGTATTAACCCACCCGCTGAGTTCACCAGACCTTGCTCCTTCAGATTACCACTTGTTCTGATCGATGGCACACGCACTTTGTGAGCAGCACTTCAAAATGTACGAAGAAAACTTGGGGCCACTTCTTTGCCACTGAAATAACTTGTGTAACATCCTCATTGAAACTCCCTGTCCTGTGTATCAGTGTGCTCTGCACTTGTTCAAGGAAAAATATAGAACAGAATGCTCTGTATTCGCCACACACATTCAGATCTGTAGCCTCAAACAAAAACCATGCTATTTTGATTCTAAAATATAGCCAGATTCTCCTTGCAGAAATTCGGAAAGGAAAAACATCTCAATACAGTCAAAGCGCTGACCGGGAAAAGTTGTTAAACACCAGTGCGAGAGTAACAGCAGACATTTAGGTAAAAACATGTTCTCACATAAGTTCTCTAACTTTATTTTCACTACAACCCTGGGAGGATGGGCTTGTTTGTTTTCGATGCAGATTTAAGTGCTGAGGGTGAATGCCACATCACAGCTGCTAAGTGACAGGAGCACGGGGCTGGCAAGTTGAAGAGAGAGCTCTTTCCACTGCGCCCCACTGCTCTCCGGCACATCAGTAAAAAGATAAATGTCACCAGCAGGAGTGCTACAGAGTCATGTGGATTTGGTCCTGCACAGGAACCCGTCCAAGAGATTTTCAAAGAACAAGGTCTCCTCTCCGCGGACCAAGCACAGCCCAACACAGGTGGTCTGCACTGCCAGAGGCGTCCTGCCTCAAGGGACCTGGGAAAAAGTGACATCATGCCAGGGAAACAGTAATGACACTCAATAAACAGTATGTATGGCTCGCAACCCACATCTCCGCCACTCCACGGAGCCCGGAGCAGCTGGAGGTTTCATTAGCACTTTAAGGAGGGTCAAAAGCTCCTTTCGGCAGAGGTATTGCTGAATTAAACAGCAATAGTGAGTCCCTGCGAGATGAACATCCCTGTACTTGGCATGGATTTTAGTGACCCTGAGCTGTACCAGGTGTGAGGCCGGGGAGTCGAGCTCTGCTTCGTAACTGGAAACAGCAAATTTAATACCAAGAAGTAAAAAGTTGTGTATGTTTGTCAGTCCTTGATACAGGGGAGAAGCAAAAATCTGAGTTCACCAATGTTTCCTGTCTTGGATTTCTGTTGCTGAAACTTCTAGTTGGGTTTGATTTAAGCTTCTAAAGCGGAACAAAACAATTTTTTAAGAAATCAAAAGTAAAAAAGAAAACTGTTGATGACTAGAATGAAGACAAAGTTTTCCTTTTTACAATGTAAGTCCTGAAACTCGGCTCCTCTCTAATCCATGTACACAGTGGGTGGAAGGTGAGGAGGTCAGGAGCCGGAAGCGCTTCATTTTCCTGAGCGTGCAGCCTTCCATCTCACTTTCCTAATAAACATACCCATGAACTGTCTTAAAAGGTAAATCTCAATTCTGTTTCTTCAATTCTGTTCCTTCTACAAAAGCATCCTTTTATTTAACAAGAAAATAGGACGAACACCATTCTGTGCGGAGACCTGACCCTCTACCACATGCTAGCTGACAAGCCTTTTACATTCTGGTGTCTGAGCCTTTCTTCAAATGAACAGAAATCACAGATGGGGAAACGATAGTTGTTCCAGAGATACTGGGCGTTAGGGAGAGGGGAGCAAAACAGATTCAAGAAGCCAGCCTTTGGCCAAATCCTTAATCCAATCAAGCTGACTGAGTGCCTGGCTGTATCTCTGCACTGGCCCTGCTGCTGACGCCTTTTCACCCAGCCCCGGTGCTGCGCTTCCTGCCTCCTCCTGGCCCGCTGACCACAGGCACCTCTGGCCCACACGTGTTTTCTTTGGAGCATACAGTGTTCACCAGCACAGCGTTTTACATTCGAATTAGTTGCCAAAACACAAAGTCCAGGAGAGGGCTGGATTGTCTGTGGTCCATTTGGCATCACTGCCAGCCCCATCTAAGGCCCTCTCTGTACACCAAGCGAAGGCCAGGACTGCTCTGCCCAGAACCATCCACTCCACGTGCTTCTGTGTTAGACTCCACCGTGAGCGGCACCGCCTGGATAGGGAAGGGAAGAGGACCTGAGAGGCTTCCAGAGCCGCTGCAAACAGGTCGGAGGGCAACCATGAAGGTCTCAGCACCCTCCCTCAGGCTCCTGAGAATTACCCGATCAGTGCCATAGAGACAGCGGACAGTGGCTTCTTCAGACTCATGGGGCACTGGGGCTGCCAACTGAGAGACAGCCAGAGGTTATGAAGGGGTCAAAGATCAGCCGAAGACTCCTAAATGCACAGACGGAGAACCGTGGGGCTTGCAAGAACTTCCTTTGCTTCCAGCCCTTCCCACGTGGTATAAACCTGAACTTTCCTTACTGACATAGTGTCTTCTGTTTTCCTGATCACACCCCAAACTGACTTAGATCTCTTATAACAACCTAGGTGTACTAGTCTTTTTTATTATTATTATACCATCTGGCTGAGTGAGGCTCCCATGCCAGCTCATCTGTGACACTGTGATCATTTCTGCACCACCTTTACCTGCCTGGTACCCTGCAAGCACTTGAACCTGAAAGTCCTGATCCAGCTCTTCTGCTGCCATCCCCACATCCCCTCGCCCGCTCTCAGATGGCATCAATCCCCACTTAAAACTTGAAGCGTGCACGGCTTCTTGAACCCGGAATCAGTGTGCACTCACCGCCACAGCATAAGCACGGCAATGTCCCTGAAGCTTCTTGACTGCGAAGTTATTCCTGATGAAAAGTAATTTAAAATACTATTTTTATATCAAAACAACTATGGGCAAATTATAAAGTAGATATGTTCTTTAACTAATCCCGTCACCTTCTTTATCCAGTCACCCCCACTCCCCTCCCCTCCGGCACCTGCCAGTCTGTTCCATGTATCCATGCTCCTGGTTCCCTTTTGTTTGTCAAATTTTTTTGTTCATTTGATTCCACATACTTATTAATAAGATCATAGGATATTTGTCTTTCTCTGTTTTATTTTGCTTAGCATAATACTCTCCAGGTCCCTCCATGTTGTCTCAAAGGGATCCTTCTTTTTTATAGGGATCCTTGTCTTATGTATCACTGGCAAATATGTTCTTCCATACAGTGGGATCTCTTTTTCTTTTGTTGATGGCTTCTTTGACTGTGTAGAATGTCATAATGTCAAGTTTGTGTTAAATGTTTTCCCTATACTTTACTCACTACCTACATAAGTAAGTCTTCAAATTTCCAAAGCCTAAGAATTTAAATATTTCTAATTGAGACAGATAGAATATTTGCCTTTGGATGTTTGTCTATAGGATCAAAATGTGGCCTCTACTTGAAAGACCCAACTAATGATTAACCCCTTCCCCGGCAGAAACGTGTATACACGTTTTCACAAAATGTTCTTTTTTCAGTCGTCGACGAGTATACTCGTCTAAAACTTTACCTTCAAAAACCAGCTACATACGTACCATTCTAAATAATTTCATCTAGAAACTTTCTGAGGAAATACTATTCCTAACCACAAAAATGGGAAGAAAAAATAATTACAAACTGTTTTCATAACCAGCATCAAAAATACTATATAGAACCAAAATAAAAAAATTAGTCTGAAAAAGAAACGTTTTTAACAAAAAAATTGTTGGGGAAGGGGTTAAAAAGGTGGGAAGAGGCTGTGGAATCAATGGGGCTCTTTACATGTCAGTTTTCACCAGGAACATCACCAGGTCCAACAGAGGCATATGAAGTCAGTGTCCTTTTCTTCCAACACACTGAATTCTGCCAGGATATCCGTGCTCAAATACAGCTGCTCCAAGGCTAATAGATGCGGAGGCTGAATTTAGAGACATTCCTAAAACCTAGCCAGTTTTGCTCAGTGGATAGAGCGTCAGCCTTCAGATTGAAGGGTCTTGGGTTCGATTCCAGCCAGGAACATGTACCGTGGTTGCAGGCTCCATCCCCAGCTCTGGTCAGGGCGTGTGCGAGAGGCAACCAATTGTTGGGTCTCTCTCGATCCATGTTTCTCTCTCCTTGTCTCTCTCCCTTCATTCCCCTCTCTAAAAATCAATGGGAAAATATCCTTGGGTGAGGATTAATGGGGGAGATTAAAAAAAAAAACAACATTCCTAAGAGCAACATCTCCTCTTGGCTTCTCTTCTTTTAACTCAGAATACTAAGCTTTCTGTTTATTTATTAGTTGGATAGCTAAGAGTTTGTGTCCTCAGCACACATGTGACAATTTTTATGTTTCCTCTAATCCCCATAAACTTCTAGACACATTCCACAGACTAGACAATAATTTTTTCCCTCTGCTACCAGGTAAGTCCATCCTCAATGCATTCAACTTTTTAAATTCTTTCTTGGGTACTGTTATCACTACAATGGGCACCTCTGAGGCAGAGGTTATGCAACTTGCCCACCAGAGGTGAACCCAAGCACTCATTTCTCAGTGTATGATCCTAACTCCTAGGCAAGCTGCCTCTCTCATGCTGTGCCCGCGAGGGGCCCTGAGTCACAGGTGTCGCCCAAGGCTTGTTCTCTTCCACACCTGTTTGCTTTTAACCTCATTGCACAACTGATCGAGATGCCTGGAGTGAGAACTCCAAGATGTCTTAGCATCATTCATTTCTAATTGGCCTAAGAGGAGAACAAACTATTCCACACAGCATTAGGACATTACACAAAATAGTAAGGCACAATCGATTGCAACTAACCTTTGGATCTCATTCAAATACCAAACAGTGCCGGAGTGTTTTAGAATAGAAATAATGTAAAAAGAAAATACCATCAAGAGGTGGAATGAGAAGTATTGAGAAACACCTCACATGACCTCATGTTATTGTAAAAAGGTTTCTCTAAGGATAAATTACTGATGCAAATTCTGCTTGGGTTCATTGTTTCCCTATGAGTTTTTAACTTAAAGAATCAGACAAATAAAAGTCACTCATCCTTCGGATCAAGTTAGTTATACCAAGAAGAGACTTACGCACCTGACTCTGTTAGAAGAATCTACAGTTCAAGTAAATATCTTAGACCCAGGGCAAGAAAAACTAAGGAGAATTGTTATAGGAGAATTGTTAATTCTTCACTGTGAAAACAATTGAAGCATATATAGTCTATCCCTAGGAAACTTGTCTCCTGTCTTATATGTACATAACTGTAGTTTGCCTTGCAGAACCTCTAAACAGGTATGACGAGGAAGCTAGGGAAGTTAAATCTACACTCTCATTGATTTATAACAATGATAAATGACAAAAAGAATATTTCTTTGGATGGATGGGGAAAGCAATAGCACAAACATTAGCATTTGATTACAGATAAACTGAGTTATTATGGCTCAATTTAAAAATTATCAACATATTACTATCTTTGCCTAATTATGTTTTTAAAAGATTGTGTTTGTGACTTTCTCTGCTAAAAGCTAATGTGGCCTGTATGGTTTATACTAAACAATGAAATAGGAAGGTAGCAGGTATGCAGAGTAGACAGAAGACAACCAAACTTAGTTCTCGCATATAAATGTAGCCTTTGGACCACCTGCACATAGTTAAACCTAGTCTCAGTTACAAACACATCTAAACTCTGCCTCCAGGCACGGCCAGTGCCAGATCACACCCCGGGAATAAATGTAGGAGGTGATTTTTTTCAAAACAACTCTCCTTTCTGTGGCTTAAAGTACACCAGACTATTAGTTTCAGAGTTTCTTGCACTAAATACACAATTGTATGAATGTGAATACAATGAAAAATCAACTGCAACCTGGAATTACTAACTAGTTGACACCTCTTAAAATTGCAGTGGTTTTGCTAATCAAAATGTAAGTTTAGAGGTTGGATTTGCTCCATATTCTCATTTGGAATGATTATCAGACTATCTGTGACAAAGCACCAGCAATAGCATACCACCATGACCCAAGCGCAGATTCAGTGGCACCTTTTCCGTGAAAATTACCACAAAATGGGTTCTCCCAGAAGGACATGTTTTGCTGCTTTACAAAATTACCACAAAATGGGTTTTCCCAGAAGGACATGTTTTGCTGCTTTACATTGTTAACTACGCTTTCTTTGGTGCATCCTTCACAACCTGAGGGAAGTTAGGCACTTCATCATTTAAACAGGACAAATGCACAAATTTGTGCTCACTTTCTGGTTCCCACCCAGAAAATTGGCAGAAAAAAAAACAATGTGACAAGTTTCATTGAGCACCTACTATGTTAAGTGCTCAGGGGGTAAAGGAGGATGGGGAGAGCTGTGAAATAAAAAAATAAACAGCTGGTTCCACCTACCATTGCTTTAAAAGACTAAGCAGGCTGTGACCAAAAACCTTTTTAAAAAAGCTTCAAAGGAGTATCAGCAATGTATGGTAATTCTAGTTAGCCAAATAAAATCTAAATTTAATGACATATCTTTGTAACTATGACTACAGGGCTCTAAGGATGTTCAGGTAAATATGAATCAAATAACTCTCTCTGCAAGTTCTATTGTATTTATAGCTTGGGCACCTGTGGTCAGAGAGAGAATTTATCTTTTCTGCTCATAATGTGCTTGTATGTTTTTAAATGAAAAATACATGCAAATTAAAATCACATTTTATTTTTAACAAATCACATTTATAAAAAATACAAAATTATATTAAAATATATAAAATTCATTTAGGAAAGGAAGATGGTGGCATAGGTAAATGCCTATACTCGCCACAACCCACAATCACATCAAAATTACAACTAAAATACAGAACAACCATCATCCAGAAGCACTGGAAAGCTGGCTGAATGGAAGTCCTACAACTAGAGAAGTAAAGAAGAAAGCACTCTGAGACTGGTAGGAGGTGCAGAGGCATGAAACAGGCTAGACCGGCACCCATGTGTGCCGCTTTTTTAATCAGGAGGGAGGCCGCCCGGAGGAGCAAAGGGGTTCCAGCCCCACACCAGATCCCCAGCACAGGGTCCCAGAGCTGGGGAAAGAGGTCCCTACGGGCAGTAAGAACAACAGGCTATAAAAACTGGTACAGATTGGGGCTCAGTGACACAGGCTGCTGGAGACCCAGCTGTTCCTCTTAAAAGGCCAGGACCACAAACTGAACTTACAAGTCACACTTCCTCTACGCTCCAGCACCAGGGTGAGGCTCTGGGGAACACAGACACATATGAGGAGGAACTGGATTGTCTGGCATCAGGGCAGGAACTCAGGGGTGGCTTTCTCCCAGAGGTGCATGCAGGGATCATTGTTCCTATGCTGGGACT